AATAAAATAAATATAAAATATATAACGAATTCTTTAAGGCATTCAAATAGTGTTTTTGTTCCAATTATACCCTCAACATAATATTTGACCAAATTTAGAATGGTACTTATCTTAATTTTTAAAATTATTTTCCATTTGTATTTATAATATATTTAATGGATTCACTACAACAAAAAAGGCTTTATAGGACACTCATTAGTGTCCTAATAAGGTAGTTAATAGGACTTTTAAGTTTATAGGACAAAAAATGTGTGTGTCTCATCTAAAGGTGTTGCATTAGGTTAATAGGATGAATTTGAGTGTCCTAAAAAACTCTAGGATTATGATACAAAACTCATAGTCCTATAAAATGGTTTTAGTAACACTAAAAAGTGTCCTAATAGACAATAATATAGGACACTTTATGTTGTCACAAAATGTTTACATTTAGAAACAAATATGGGCATCCCAAAAAATATTTTTATAGGACGAAATTCAATGTCCCAAAAAATGTTTTTATGAAACAAATTTTAGTGTCCTATAAAATGAACTAAGTAATACTAAAAAAGTGTCATAATAGGTCTGTCTTGAATCTCCTATCAAGTAAGAACTACCCCAAGATGTACTTGAATATATCTGTCGTGTTGGTCTGGAATATGGATTAGTAGATTTGTTAAGGTTAAAATAGCCAAGTCGGTTCCCTTGAGGTAGAATTTCCACATCTTCATTCAAGAATAACAAAGMCACTATTAAACCAATGGTTTCCATCATATTAATTGAATCACATCTAAAACAGAAAAATTAAAATCTCTCAAAAAACTAAGGAAAAAAGATAGCATGAACTTCAACAGAAGGGAAAAAAAACACATCATCAAAATGATTGAAATCTATTTTCACAAAACTATTCCATTCGCCATGGAACAAGGCATATACACAAAATGTAAGAACTTGTTTTCCAATAAAACTAGTACATCAACTTAAACAATAAACCATAGGTCGATAGCTGAAGCTTATGAATTTTATCAGCAAGCATTAACCATRTAAATTGCCTAGAAATCTCACCTGCTTGAGTTGYAATTCAGTCATGTKGAAGTGCAAATTTCCCACATAAAGCTTCCGATCAACTGCACCATAGGGTCCTGCAATACCACCTGCTCCACCAGTTGAAGCATTAGATTGCACAAGGTTCTTTTCAGCCTCCGAAGGTTTGACCATTACAGGTTGTCCAAGAAGTAGATGACCAGAGAGGGAAATTGCCATTGGAACAGACATTGCATCATAAAATTCGATATACCTGTAGTTATTGATTCAGAACAAAAACTAAATTACTGAGTGCCAAAGACTCGGCCATAACCAACTTTATGTGGGAGAAACTTAGCGGAAGAGTCTTTTCACACACAAACATGAATAAATAAATAATACCATTCCATAATATGTATTCTCTCAAAACAGAATACATCGATAACATTCATTAGTTAAAACGAAATATTGAACAATGACTAATGACATTAAATAGATGGACAGAGTTATTCAGTCAAAGTAAAAAAGGCCCAAGTTAAAATGTCATTTCTGAGTATTATGTTCCACATAGACCTAGCTGTCTAGACATACGCAAGGCACCATGACTCCATGAATTGGAAAGGGTTAAAAACGATACCATGAGAAGCAATGTGTGATGCAGAAAAATTAAGGCATAAAAGTTGAGGGAGAAAAGATGGAACCAAGGATTACAACAAAACTTTCCTATCAATGTGTGAACCTCGAGAATAAGGCTCCTGCCTTTTTCACGAGACAACATGCACAGTGCATAACAGAACCAGGCATTGTTCAACTCTGCCATGTGAATATTCTTGGTTTGGGGCATTTAGGTGTGGCTTGACCAACAAAATACAGTAGATATATAAATTCTCTAAGTCATCTCATTGCATGGCCAACTGAGATTCATGAAGCGACAGCTCTACAAGACGATAGCAATAATTTACTGCTACCTTCTGCGGCCTTTCATGTAATTTTATCACCATCTCCAGCATCTTCCCTTTCCCTTTATGTTCCATTAAATTTCTATGCCTGGTAAGTCGGGTGTTCTTTCACCTCTATCAAGGTATACAACACTACATTGTCTTTTATATTTTGGCCTTCCATCGCTTTTTGTAGAAGCCAATACTTTTCGGAATTCATTTATGCAGAACAATTTGGAAGATCTTTACAGTCTTCTGTGCTTCTTGCATGTTGAGCCATGGTGCAACTGGGCATGGTAAGCAATATAACATGATCCAAATGTAAAATTGACAGACATTTTATCTTTATTGATCTTATTTTCTTCCATTTTTTTAAAGGTGGAACAAGCTAATTCAGAGGCCTTATGAAAATGGCGATAAACGAGGGCTAAAGCTTGTAAAAGCCATTCTAAGGCCACTCACGCTGAGGAGAACAAAAGATACAAAAGATAAAGAAGGAAGGTGTGTATATCATCTATTAAACTTCACCATTTTTCGGTTATTAGAACTTGTTAGTTTTTCTAAACTATGAGTGATCCAAGCCGATTCTTGTTCTCCCACCAACTGACATCCAAGTTATTGAATGTGAACAATCAGAAGCCGAACATGATTTCTATGATGCCCTTTTCAAAATATCTAAAGTAAGTTTTGTCTTCAGAATTTCGGTCACCTTGATGTATAATTGTAGATTATGTAGCTCATGCTTTTTTCGTTTATATGAAAACAGGTCCAGTTTGATCAGTTTGTAGCACAAGGCAAAGTTCTTCACAACTATGCTAATATCCTTGAGCTCCTACTTAGATTGAGACAATGTTGCAATCACCCATTTCTTGTTATGAGGTACATGTTTCGATTCTCTAAAATCCAGTATAACTGATTCCGTTTTTTTCCTGATGGTCTTTAACTAACAAGTACATGTTGTTATATGAATCGTACAAACTTAATTTTCATGTGTTGTTTCTTATATGAAACACATGTGAAAATGTAGTGATTATACAATGTTGTCTCATATGTGAGAGGAAAAACAGTTCTAGAGCACTTAGGTATAAGAACCCAAAACAGATTGTAAGTTTGTACAAGTATTGGTTTGTAAAAGAAGGGTTCTCTACTCTCTAGATATCTATGCCTTTCTGAAGAGTACTTTTAGTTGTTAGAATTTGTTCAAGTCGTTATATATGCTGTGAACAATAGATATCTAGAGCACTTAGGTATAAGAACCCAAAACAGTTGTATTGTACCTCAAAGGGCTATTAGTTAAATAATTGATCATCTCTGTATCTCTATTGTTATTTAGGATCATTCTGTAACAACAATCAAAACCATTGGAAAGCAAACAGGGTTACAGAACATAGAAATCAAAGATGATAACAAAAACTATTACCCCAAAATTAGGTGCATAACAGTTCCATCAGTGTATATTTACTCATAGAAGATTGGTTATTAGATGGAAGCCCATAGGTTTCACATGGATATCAAAGCCTAGTTCCAACTTGCAGAGTTCATTAGTCACTAGTGCAAGGTGGATGACACTTTGTGCTAAAGCATTCTAAGTAGTAGAAACTCATATAGCACCTTCTTCAACATCCTAAAAAACGTCCAATTGACTATCAACTGAAGCAACAATGAGAAAGTAGGTACAGGGGATACAGCGTATTTGTGCATATAATTTCCCAATATGTATTTCAATTTCAATTTCCAATATGTATAAGCATGTAGTTGTGTTCCGTTTCTTCACTCAGGAGCACATACAACTCAGGAGCAGAAGGTTTGAATTCATCTATTGTAGTCAATGAAAATGAAAATGTTACCTAAGCAGAACTGCAGAAGGTTCGTCGTCTGTTGTTTGTCGTCGTCGATCGATCGCAAACAGTGAGGGAGAGGGAAGAGTCGATCGTAGCTTCGTAGTTCGTAGGTACAGGGATACAACAATCGTAGTTCGTCGTTCGTCCAGGGGAGACGGGAGTTGTGAAGCCGTGAAGGGGAAATGGGTTTAATAAAATGGGCTAAGTTAGGTTAATAAAATGGGGCTGATTTAAATCATCATATAGTTTTTGACATTTGGGCCTAGTTAAAAATGATTCTAAATATAATATGTTATTTATATCATTTTAAACTTTAATAGGACACTTTTAAGTGTCCTATTAGCTTTTAAACACTAATACAATAATCAAAATGTTTTATTAACTTTTAAAATTAACATGACACTTAAAAATGTCCTATTAATTTCTAAAATAATGACACTTTAAAATGTCCTATTAGTCTTTAAAATAATACGACACTTAAAAGTGTCCTATTAGACCATAAAATAATATGACATTCAAAAGTGTCGTATTAGATTACATGATAGGACGTCAAGATATGTTAATAAGACATCAAAATTAAGAGTCATATAAGATTAAATCAAATAGGACTCATAAACTAATGTGTCGTATTAGCCTTTTTTATAGAACGGTTTCCGAAAAGTGTCCTAAAAAAGTGTCATATAAACCTTTTTTTGTTGTAGTGTATTTGTGGTTTAGATTGTTTCTCGTTTTTTATAAATTGAACTATAAGTTATTATATGTTCACGACACATGTCACACAAAGATACTGCTGGGGAATATGTAAACATTTATGGTTGCACACAAAGAATACGTTTGCTTCCATTTGAAAGTAACCCAAAAATCATGTTTGACAGTTAAATAATTATTCTTCAAGAATACTTATAAGATTTTTTAACAGAGTCAGGAGCAGGACCAGAGCGTTTATTAAATCACAATGGCCAAATTGTAATTTCCAAATTGCGGAAGTGAAAACCGTTACAATCAAAAAAACCATAGGGACGAGAATTGTAGTTTACATTTTCTAAAATTTTAAATCGAATATGGTTCATACAAATATTTGAGTAAAAGCTTGATTATCGACAACCCCGATCAGTCCTACAAGAAACCGCCCTCCTAAGAATCACATATGAATAGGATGCGGGTTCTTTTATATATTATTCAATTCATATTTAAAACTGCAAGTACAATGATTTAAAAACACTTAGGGTTTGATTGGAATGGCCATGAGGGGTACTCTTCTTGGCAAAGAGAGCCCAAACTTCTCTTCCATGTCCAAATCTTGTACTCTTTTGTTCCCTTCAAGCTTCCAATCAAACTTTTGGATCAATGAGCCTAAAACTAAAGGTAACACTCTATGAGCAACATTCATTCCGGGACAAATCCTCCTTCCGGTACCAAATGGAATGAACTCGAAATCTTGGCCTTTGTAGCTGATATCAGCTTCCAAAAATCTCTCTGGCATGAACGTTTCTGGGTTAGACCAAATGCTCGGGTCTCGTCCCATTCCCCAAATGTTACAAAGAATCTGTGCGTTTTTAGGCACGGTGAAACCTTGGACATTTACGTCCTGCATGGCTTGGTGAGGGACAAGAAGTGGGGCAGGAGGATGCAACCTGAGAGTTTCTTTTATAACAGCTTGTAGGTAAGGGAGTTGATTGATATCTGGTTCTTGAATGTTTCTGTTGATGTTTTGCATGAGGTTAATTACCTCCAATCGAGCCGTTTCCTTTTTTCCCGGGTTACGAATAAGCTCGGCCATTGCCCATTCCAACGTGGTTGATGTCGTATCAGTTCCTCCAATAAATAAATCCTACAATAATTTATTAAATATTATTAATTAGACAAAATCACTCTTTTCAACAAAAACTAGTCCATGTCCATCAAGTTAATCTTTTTTATTATTATAAAATAATTTTTTTTATTAATTTAATAGCTATAGATGTATTAAACAATTTTTATTAATTTGATATATATATATATATATATATATACTATATTATAAAACATTTGACAAAAACTCTTAAAAACCACTTTTTATGCATTAAGTACTGTTTATTGATATATATTACTTAAAATTCAAGATTACAAGTAATTGTCCGTATGTATAACTTATTAAAACTCCGTTTTAAATTTGTGTAACTAACTGCAGATAAATATAATCAAATTCTAGATAAGTATCTCATTTTAAATATAAAAACTCTAAAATATATTTAGGATAAACATTGAATTCAAAATACTAAATATTATCTTTATAAAATAATTATATTATTAAATCTAAATTAAATTAT